TATATAAATCCTGTATAATAATAATAATATATAAATCCTGTATAATAATATATAATCCTGTATAATAATAATATAAATCCTGTATAATAATAATAATATATAAATCCTGTATAATAATAATATATAAATCCTGTATAATAATAATATATAAATCCTGTATAATAATAATATATAAATCCTGTATAATAATAATAATATATAAATCCTGTATAATAATAATATAAATCCTGTATATAATATAAATCCTGTATAATAATAATAATGTATAAATCCTGTATAATATAATATAAATCCTGTATAATAATATAAATCCTGTATAATAATAATATAGGTAGGCACACATTTAACTCCTGGATTGTCCTAGATGTTAACCCCCTTCCCAGCCACTGTCATTAGTACAGTGACAGTATATAGTATTATCACTGATTACGGTATTGTCAGTGGCAGTTAGCCAGGCCCCCCACCTCCCAGTGTCAAAATTCCCACCGCACCATCGCAGTCCGATTATAACTCGCTTCTCACCGCCATTAGTACTATAAAATAAAAATTCCAGTATAAATACTGTACTTTGTAGGTGCTTTAACCATTTCAATACCAACACTGCCCCCCAATACCAACCCCCTTACTGCCCAGCCCAATTTTCAGCTTTCAGCGCTGTTGCACTTTGGATGAAAATTGCGCGGTCAGGCAACACTGTACCCAGATGACATTTTTATCATTTTTTTTTTCCCACACAAATAGCGCTTTCTTATGGTGGTATGTAGCCTCCCTGGCGGTATTCCCGAGTGTAGCTCGGGGTAAAGTTTCAGTACAACAAGCGGTAACCCCCGAGCTACACTCGGGCTTACCATGCGGCGTTGCTCCGGGATCCCTTCTGCACTTACCTTGTCCTGCGCTCCCCCGCGATGTCCCCCCTGCAGTGTCCCCTGTAATGTCCGGCGGATGCCAGCATCTGGGTTCTGTCCCCTGCAACATCGGGACGTACGGGGGATGGAACTGGCGGGAAATTTGAAAATGACAAAAAGTGACATTCACTAAAATCACATAGTATAACATTCCTGTATCAAACCATTCACATACATTTTGTCCCGAGTGCTTTGTCCGGCGCCCTGCCTGCATTTTTACTGTTCTTTCTGCCTGGAAACTGAGAAACGTCCATGGCGTCCAAAAAGCGTCCCTTTAGGTCAAAAGCGGTTTTAGATCAGCTAGAGAACAGCGATAGTAAATCAGAACCACTTGCAGAATTGAGTGATAATGATTTGTGGGGGAAATTCCTCATCAGACACTGAAAACGATTCTGCGACTTTGCTCAGCGATGTGCGAACTTGGCGCTATATTTCACATTTCAGTGTTTTTGGTTTGATTATATTATTGAATTAATTTATTATTATTATATATTTATTATTTTTTATGATTATTTATTAAATTATAATTTATGATTTCGTGTTTCAAATTTTATCATATCCGGGATGTTTACTAGACTCTTGTTCGGACAGATTTCAGTGAGTTATTCCAAAAAATTACAGGCCTACAATAAAATAACTACATATTTCCATGCAAAAAAAATGTACCGCTTTGAGCACAGAAATACGGACATAATCAGACCGCTAGGGAGGTCAATCCCCACTGAGTTTTTTATTTTTTGCTAAATAAAAAAAAAAAAAAATTGAGAAAAAAAAAATTCTTCATTTCTGTTTTAAAATGTTTGCAAATAAATAACAATTCTTCATAAATTTAGGTCAGACTGGATATAGTGAATGCAGGGTCCATGGAGACCAGATATAGTGAATGCAGGGTCCGGATATGGGAGAGCGGGGAGAGCATATAGTGAATGCAGGGGGGAGACCCTGGGGAGACCAGATATGGTGAATGCAGGGTCCTGGGGAGCAGACCGGATATAGTGAATGCAGGGTCCTGGGGAGAGCAGATATAGTGAATGCAGGGTCCGGGGAGAGACCGGATATGGTGAATGCAGGGTCCTGGGTTTAGTAACAATTTAACCGCTTCCCATCTGCCCTACAGCAGAAGTACTGCTACAGGGTGGCACAGGTGCGCAAAATCACGTATACACGTGGAACTTGAAAAATGAGAATATGGTGCAAAAGTTCACTTATTTCAGTGCAGCAACTTAAAAGGTGAAACTAATATATGAGATAGACTCATTACATGCAAAGCAAGATAGTTCAAGCCGTGATTTGTCATCATTGTGATGATTATGGCTTACAGCTCATGAAAACCCCAAATCCACAATCTCAGAAAATGAGAATATTACATGCAATCAATAAAACAAGGATTGTACATAGAACAATATCGGACCTCTGAAAAGTAGAAGCATGCATATGTACTCAGTACTTGGTTTGGGCCCCTTTTGCAGCAATTACTGCCTCAATGCAGCGTGGCATGGAGGCTATCAGCCTGTGGCATGGCTGAGGTGTTATAGAAGACCAGGATGCTTCAATAGCGGCCTTCAGCTCTTCTGCATTGTTCGGTCTCATGTCTCTCATCTTTCTCTTGGCAATGCCCCATAGATTCTCTGTGGGGTTCAGGTCAGGCGAGTTTGCTGGCCAATCAAGCACAGTAATTCCACGGTCATTGAACCAGGTTTTGGTGCTTTTGGCAGTGTGGGCAGGTGCCAAGTCCTGCTGGAAAATGAAGTCAGCATCCCCATAAAGCTCGTCTGCGTAAGGAAGCATGAAGTGCTCCAAAATCTCCTGGTAGACGGCTGCGTGACCCTGGACTTAATGAAGCACAGTGGGCCCAATACCAGCAGATGACATGGCTCCCCAAATCAACACAGACTGTGGAAACTTCACACTGGACTTCAAGCATCTTGTAGTGTGTGCCTCTCCATACTTCCTCCATACTCGGGGTCCTTGGGCCTCTCCATTCTTCCTCCATACTCGGGGTCCTTGTGCCTCTCCATTCTTCCTCCATACTCGGGGTCCTTGGGCCTCTCCATTCTTCCTCCATACTCGGGGTCCTTGGGCCTCTCCATTCTTCCTCCATACTCGGGGTCCTTGGGCCTCTCCATTCTTCCTCCATACTCGGGGTCCTTGGGCTCTCCATTCTTCCTCCATACTCTGGGTCCTTGGGCCTCTCCATTCTTCCTCCATACTCGGGGTCCTTGGTTTCCAAATGAGATGCAAAAGTTGATCTCATTAGAAAAGAGGACTTTGGACCACTGAGCAACAGAGCAGGTCTGTTTTTCTTTAGCCCAGGTAAGACGCTTCTGATGTTGTTTGTTGTTCAGGAGCGACTTGACAAGAGGAATACGACATTTGAAGCCCATGTCCAGGATCCATCTGTGTGTGGTGGCTCTTGATGCACTGACTCCAGCCTCAGTCCACTCCTTGTGAAAGTCCCCAACACTCTTGAATGGCCTTTTCCTGACAATTCTCTCCAGGCTGCGGTCATCCCTGCTGCTTGTACACCTTTTTCTTCCACACAAACTTTCTATTAATGTGCTTTGATACAGCACTTTGGGAACATCCAACTTCTTTTGCAATTACCTTTTGAGGCTTTCCCTCCTTATGGAGGGTGTCAATGATGGTTTTCTGCACAACTGTCAGGTCAGCAGTCTTTCCCATGATTGTGATTCCTACTGAACCAGACTGAGAGACCATTTAAAGGCTCAGGAACCCTTTGCAAGTGTTGTGGCTTAATTAGCTGATTAGAGTGGGACACTTTGAGCCGAGAATATTGCACCTTTTCACACCTCAGCTGTCAATCACTGGGTTACTTGCCAGCGCCTGGTGATTGCTGAGGGGGGGGGGGGGAGGCACGTGAATGTTTGTAAACAATAGAGTTCTCTCCCGTCAGCTCCAGCACACTGCTTTGCATGGCTCTGCACAGCACAGCAACACAAAGCAGTGTGTTTACAGTAAAGCACAATCATACACACAGCAAAACAACACACAGTTAACCCTTTGATTGCCCCAGATGTTAACCCTTTCCTGCCCAGTGCCATTAGTACAGTGTCAGTGCTTTTTATTAGCATTAATCACTGTATTGGTGTCACTGGAGATGTCAGTGCCTGTTAATCAGTTCTCCCCCCAGTGTCAGAATGTCCGCCGCAGTCCCGCTATAAGTCGCTGATCGCCGCCATTACTAGTAAAACAATCCCAGTACCTTTACCGCCATTTGTAGACGCTATAACTCACGGAAACCAATTAATTTACACATATGGGGATTTTTTTTTCTTTTAGCAAAGACTACATTTATGACGAAATTTGGTTTTTACATTTTTTTTTACTGGACATGTTTAATAGCAAAAAGGAAAAAAATACTGTATTTTTTTCAAAATAGTTTTTTTTTCTAGCGCAAAAAAAATAAAAAACACACAGGTGATCAAATACCAGCTATAGAAAGCCTTGTTCGTGGGGAAAAAAACAAAAGGATATAAATTTCATTTGGGTGCAGCGTTGCACGACCGCACAATTGTCAAAGTAAAGCAAAAAAAAATGTCCTGGTCAGGAAGGGGGGGGGGGAATCCTCTTAATGACGTTGATGTGTTTTCTCACTGACAGGCGCTCACATGACGCACAGTCACACTAATAGAAATCGAACTGCCGCCATTTCATTGTCGGGGCCTCTCCTCTCAGACACGATGATGTACTGTCTGGGGGGGGTGTTCAGGCCTGAAATGAATTGTAATGCAAACACAGATCCGGCAGTGACGGGGTTAAGGATTGCTCCATGTAGGCTCTTCTTGCAAACAGGTCTCCCCTCCCCCCCTCCTCTGCGACTGCCCTTATTGTATACAGCCACACCAATCATCCCTGTCACGGGATCCTGACCGGCCGTCATGTGACCAACTCCACCTACTAACTTATCGCTTCCCTTTTTATTTTGCCCTCAGTCATCATGGAGTTCGGAGGCTGCTGCCCCTCTTCCGGTTTCGTCAGCCAATGAGGGCGCGGCTGTAGTCAGCTGAGCGGTGAGACTGCGGCTGTCGGCACTCAGTGTAGTCCCTGAGCTCGGTGTGACCGCTGTTCGGTGTGATGGCTTCTTTGCTGTGCTGCGGGCCCAAGCTGGCCGCCTGCGGGATCGTCCTCAGTGTGTGGGGGGTCATTATGCTGGTAAGGACGAGAGACTTCCCGTGTGCTGGGGGGAGGGGGTGCGGCTTCTATATATATATAATCTCTATGGGGGGAGGGTTCTGTATATATACACATCTATGGGGGGGGGGGATGGGTGTCCCTGTATGGGGGGGGGAGGGGGTGCGGCTTCTATATATATATATATATATATATATATATATATATAATCTCTATGGGGGGAGGGTTCTGTATATATACACATCTATGGGGGGGGGAATGGGTGTCCCTGTATGGGGGGGAGGGGGTGCGGGTTCTGTATCTGTATATATACACATCTATGGGGGGGGGAATGGGTGTCCCTGTATGGGGGGGAGGGGGTGCGGGTTCTGTATCTGTATATATACACATCTATGGGGGGGAATGGGTGTCCCTGTATGGGGGGGAGGGGGTGCGGGTTCTGTATCTGTATATATACACATCTATGGGGGGGAATGGGTATCCTGTATGGGGGGGAGGGGGGTGCGGGTTCTGTATCTGTATATATACACATCTATGGGGGGAATGGGTGTCCCTGTATGGGGGGGAGGGGGTGCGGGTTCTGTATCTGTATATATACACATCTATGGGGGGGGAATGGGTGTCCCTGTATGGGGGGGAGGGGGTGCGGGTTCTGTATCTGTATATATACACATCTATGGGGGGGAATGGGTGCCCCTGTATGGGGGGGAGGGGGTGCGGGTTCTGTATCTGTATATATACACATCTATGGGGGGGAATGGGTGCCCCTGTATGGGGGGGAGGGGGTGCGGGGTTCTGTATCTGTGTGTGTGTATATATATACACATCTATGGGGGGAGGGGGTTCTCTGTACAATATATGTACACAGTGTGTGGGGGAGACTTACTACAACTGGAGGGGGGCAGCGGTGCATGGCATCCAATCAGCTTCTAGCTTCAGCTTGCTTAGTGAAGCTTTGGCAATACAACCTGGAAGCTGATTGGCTCCCATGCACAGCTGCACCAGATTCTTTATATACGGTGTGTGTGTGTATATATATATATATATTCAGAAAAATGAAAGGAACACTTTTTAATCAGTCTAGCATCAAGTCAGGTCAACTCCTGAGATATTGATCTGGTCAGGTAAGTAGCAGGGGGGGTTGTTAATCAGTTTCAGCTGCTTTGGTGTTAATGAAATTAACAATAGGTACACTAGATGGGCGTCAATGAGAAGACCCCCAAAACAGGAATGGTTTTACAGGTGGAGACATTTGTTTCTCTACTCATCTTTTCTCACTAGTTTTGCATTTGGCTAGGGTCAGTGTCACTACTGGTAGCATGAGGCCATACCTGGACCCTACAGAGGTTGCACAGGAAGTCCAACTCCTCCAGGATGTCACATCAATACCTGCCATTGCCAGAAGGTTTGCTGTGTCTCCCAGCACAGTCTCAGGAGCATGGAGGAGATTCCAGGAGACAGGCGGGGAAAGCTGGACAGGGACGTAGAAGGTCCTTAACCCATCAGCAGGACCGGTATTTGCTCCTTTGTGCAAGGAGGAACAGGATGAGCACTGCCAGATCCCTACAAAATGACCTCCAGCAGGCCACTGGTGTGAATGTCTCTGACCAAACCATCAGAAACAGACTTCATGAGGGTGGCCTGAGGGCCCGACGTCCTCTAGTGGGCCCTGTGCTCACTGCCCGGCACCATAGAGCTCGATTGGCAGGTCCACCACTGGCACCCTGTGCTTTTCACAGATGAGGGCAGGTTCACCCTGAGCAAATGTGACAGACATGAAAGGGTCTGGAGAAGCCATGGAGAACATTATGCTGCCTGTTACATCGTTCAGCATGACCGTTTTGGTGGTGGGTCAGTGATGGTCTGGGGAGGCATCTCCATGGAGGGATGCACACAGACCTCTACAGCCTAGACAATGGCACCTTGACTGCCATTAGGTATCGGGATGAAATCCTTAGACCCATTGTCAGACCCTACTCTGGTGCAGTGGGTCCTGGGTTCCTCCTGGTGCAGTGGGTCCTGGGTTCCTCCTGGTGCAGTGGGTCCTGGGTTCCTCCTGGTGCACCACAATGCCCAGCCTCATGTGAGAAGAGTATGCAGGCAGTTCCTGGAGGATGAAGGAATTGATACCATTGAATGGCCCCAACACTCGCCTGACCTAAATCCAATAGAACTCCTCTGGGATATCATGTTTCGGTCCATCCGACACTGCCAGGTTGCACCTCAGACTGTCCAGGAGCTCAGTGATGCCCTGGTCCAGACCTGGGAGGAAATACCCCAGGACACCATCCGTGGTCTCATTAGGAGCCTCCCCCGACGTTGTCAGGCATACATACAAGCATGTGGGGGCCACACAAACTACTGAGGATCATTCTGAGTTGCTGCAATGAAGCAAAATGGACTCCCCTGCTGCATCATTTTTTCACTTTGATTTTCGGGGTGTCTTGGAATTCAGTCCTCTGTAGGTCGATCATTTTCATTTCCATTAAACGATGGGGATCAGCCTTAGATTCCTAACACATTACCCGTCCATGTCAGTATAGAGATCCAGCAGGAGACTTTTCCCCATTGAGATCTGATGTGTTTTCAAAGTGCTCCTTTCATTTTTTTTTTGTCAGTGTATATTCACACAGTCTATAGAGGAGGGGTCCTTCTATGTCTGTATATAGTATATATGGGGGTGTGATCTATTTATTGTATGTTTGTATATATTTCTTTAGGGACATCGGGATGGATTAGGTCAAATGGTAGTAGTCACATGCAAGCATGCAACCAATCTGAATAGCCCTGATCCATTCCAGGAAATCCCTGGACAGCTGCATGGACAGTGAGAGCTAGTCATCCACAGAGATTAGTAGAGTGGGGGGTGGGGAGGGTGGACAAAGTTTTGTTTTTTTTTTTTTTTTTTTTTTTTTTGTTTTTTTTTATGTGAAAAGGTGAACTTGCACTATAAGGTAGGTAAAAATGTGGATTTAGATTGGGGAGGAGGGAGAAAATTGGAGACATTAGAATCTTGTGTAATTTGGTCTGGTATTGTACTGGAGGGGTCGGGGGAAGTGAATCATTCTGTCCCCACTTCCCTTTTCCATATGGAGGCATCATGGGACCCAATGCACTTCCCCAAACTGTCTGCAGTGGAACAAAAGATTGCCATGAACAGTGTGGACTGTGAAAGCTATAATTACAGTCAGAACGTCCGATGTGTCCTTGTCCCAGGCTGTGATTAAGTAGGCCGTCCTAGAGTAGGACACCCATGTGAGAAGCCTTCGGTGGAAGCTGGCAATGATGTCTTCCTGGTCTACATGCTACTATCAGGGGAGGAGTGGCGCATCAGTCTGTACTACCCATGGACAAGCCTTGCACTGCCATGCATTGTTCACTTTGCTGTGACCTGGATACTGGCCACAGCAGAGGGTGGTGATCAGTCATGTAACAGGACAGAGACCACCATACTAAGCCATCTTGTCCCAATCCTGTTCATCCCTGTGACTTGGGGCCCTTCTGAGGACTCCTTGGTGTGTTGGTGACGTTCTTCCTCTGTGACTTGGGGCCCTTCTGAGGACTCCTTGGTTTGTTGGTGACATTCTTCCTCTGTGACTTGGGGCCCTTCTGAGGACTCCTTGGTGTACTGGTGACATTCTTTCTGTGGGACTTAGGGCCCTTCTGAGGACTTCTTGGGTTTTTGGTGACATTCTTCCTCTGTGACTTGGGGCCCTTCTGAGGACTCCTTGGTGTGTTGGTGACATTCTTTCTCTGTGACTTGGGGCCCTTCTGAGGACTCCTTGGTTTGTTGGGACATTCTTCCTCTGTAACTTAGGGCCCTTCTGAGGACTCCTTGGTTTGTTGGTGACATTCTTCCTCTGTGACTTAGGGTCCTTCTGAGGACTCCTTGGTTTTTGTTGGGGACATTCTTCCTCTGTGACTTGGGGCCCTTCTGAGGACTCCTTGGTGTATACTGGTGACATTCTTTCTGTGGGACTTAGGGCCCTTCTGAGGACTTCTTGGGTTTTGGTGACGTTCTTCTCTGTGACTTGAGGCCCTTCTGAGGACTCCTTTCTTCCTCTGTGACTTGGGGCCCTTCTGAGGACTCCTTGGTTTGTTGGTGACATGTCCTGGTGACATTCCCTTCTGAGGACTCTTGTGTTGGTGACATTCTTCCTTGGGGCCCTCCTTGGTTTGTTGGTGACATTCTTCGTCTGGACTTGGGGCCTTGGGATTTGTTGGGTGACATTCTTTCTGTGGGATTAGGACCTTCCTCCTTGGTTTGTTGGGGACATTCTTCCTCTGTAACTTAGGGGAGGACCCTTGGTTTGTTGGGGACATTCTTCCTCTGTGACTTAGGGCCCTTCTGAGGACTCCTTGGGGTGTTGGTGACATTCTTTCTCTGTGACTTAGGGCCCTTCTGAGGACTCCTTGGTTTGTTGGTGACATTCTTCCTCTGTAACTTAGGGCCCTTCTGAGGACTCCTTGGGGTTTGTTGGTGACATTCTTCCTCTGTGACTTGGGGGGGGCCCTTCTGAGGACTCCTTGGTGTGTTGGTGACATTCTTTCTGTGGGACTTAGGGCCCTTCTGAGGACTCCTTGGGGTGCTGGTGACGTCCTTCCTCTGTGACTTAGGGCTCATTCACACAGGTGACCGTAAAATCAGGCGGTTGAGCTGTGGTTTTACCATCTCCCACTTAGACAAAGCATTGCAGCTGATCAGAGCTGTACCTGTGCCACAACCAGGGGTGGACTGACAACTCATGGGGGCCCGGGCAATAGGGGATCATGGGGCCCCTGTGTCTTCGCCCACACCCAAAAACGCCTATGAAAAAGCCAATGAAAGGTACCAGGGGCATCTCATGGGGCCCCCTACTGACCTCGGGCAGTGCCTGAGTGCTCCAATGGTCAGTCCTCCCCTGGCCACAACATAAATAAGCGTGTCACTTTTAGCAGGCAGTGCTGCCACTGAACACAACCTGTTCAAGTGAATGGAAGTGAACCTCCATTTTGGTTGATTTGGCATTTTTGAGGGTTAA